TTGTTCTTGTTCTTGTTCTTGTTCTTGTTCTTGTTCTTGTTCTTGTTCTTGTTCTTGTTCTTGTTCTTGTTCTTGTTCTTGTTCTTGTTCTTGTTCTTATTCTTATTCTTATTCTTATTCTTATTCTTATTCTTATTCTTATTCTTATTCTTATTCTTATTCTTATTCTTATTCTTATTCTTTATTTTGATATATTTCTCAAAATAAGTGAAAATTGCATGATCGGGAATTTTTACCTAATTTGGGTCTTATCACGCGATTAGATTAATCAGCCCACACCTTTAAATTTATTCCTCAGAATTCGCGGGAAATACTTGATCGGATATTTTTACCTAATTTGGGCCGTCTGAAATATGAAATTAAAAAGTTTTTTAAAAACTTGATTTTAATGCTCAATTTTGTGATGACGTATTTCCTCTTTGTACACAGGGATCCCATGGAGGAGATAATGCATGCGTACTCGTACTACAGACCGCCCGTAAGACAGATGATGTTCTCGGATATAAGACCAGGAGACAAGACGGGGAAAGGTGATTACTTATTTACTCTACGCTTATTCCAAGACCAAAGTGCATTGTGGGTCACAGTGACATTGTCTAAAATAGAATTAATAATAATAATTTATTCTATTTTGAGTGTATTCCATTTAAAACAATATACTAACTACATGTAGAGAGTTAATAAGCCTGAAGCGAGATGATGTTTTACCCCCGACTCTATACAAAAGCAGTGTGAAAAGAATTATGGTCTAGAGACGGGGGTAAAACGTCATCTCGCTTCAGGTTTATTGCTGTATATTTGCTTTTTATTTCAAATTAACGAGACCCACGATGCCCTTTGGTCTTGGAATGAACTATTCAGTATGCAGTATTCAGTATTCAACCTTTTTTGAAATAGCTGTATGTTAATCTCAACGGTATTCAAAATTATGGTATTTCAAAAAGAATGTTGAAAGTAATTTGAACATTGTGTTCGCAAAATGCATATCGGTTCTTAATACACGCATTACAGAAGCTTCAATGTCTTCAGTTTGCTTTACTATAAAACCCCTATATTCAATGCAGTTTGTACTCAAGATCAGAGGTACCAAGAAAGACCAAAATTAAACTAGAAATGTCTTTAATCGGATGCTGAAATGTCGCTGTAACTTAAAGCATGCACTTTCTTTCATTTCTACCCTTCGTACATCAAAAAATACATTTCTTTTATAACTCTTTAAAACTTACTTGAGCACTTGAATTCTTGCACTGAATTACTCTACCTCACTGAGTGTTGTGTTGTTCGCTCTCATCTGAACCTTCCATGGAAGCCATGTCTACTCAGCTGCTCTGCTTGGCTTACTACGATTAATAATCAAGATTTAATTGTAAAATCATTATTGAACACGTGGGATTCCCACCTTCACAACGTTTTATGATCAGTAAAATCTCTGCACCATCACGTGACGGCAGCCATGTTAGATGGCAAGAACAATACAGTCGTTTTACATGAGAAAGAATTCAATTGCCAAGTGCAAAGGGATTTTATTGCTACCGCCATCTAACCACAGGGGAACCGACACGTGATGGTCCAAAGCCTCAATAGACCCCTTGCAGCACTTTGGAATGTAGCTCAAACTGGGGATCAAAACAATAGGTTCCAATTTTCAGTATTAGAATTCTTTTGTTTTGTTCCCCAGATCGAGATGCTTTTCTTGTCTTTCTTCGTTGTCCTTTGTAACGTACAAGAAAAGCTAACTAACAAAAGTGCAACAATGCTGTTCGTAGTAGATGGGACACAAGACTACCTACTGATAAATTTCAGGTTACCATACAAACTGCAAGGGAGGTAGGGTGGGGGAGATTTCCAGCCGTCACGGTGTCGTGCGTCTGCGATACTTTCCCCCGCTGGAAATCTGAGTCTAAGTTTTATCAGGACGTTTCATGATCCCTTTATCTACATAAGCCAAAGACTTTACATCCCTGATATGGTACACCTTCTTGTGCGACCGTTAGCTTTACCGATTCAGTGCAACTGTGTATGTGTTGTGTTGTGCCTATTTTTAAAATACCTCAGTAGAGTGCGTACGATATATCCGTGAAAAAGTTAACTAACAAAATTGTGCAAATTAGTGCAAAGTTTTGTAGGTCTACGGTCTACTGAGGTCTACTGAACTTACTAATTTGTGCACATTGGTGCAATTTCTTACAAAGGTTTTTACGGATTTATGGTGTATACTCGATCGTTAAGTAATATCCTAATATGTAGGCAATTTTAACAATCGTTTCTTTTGGCAGAGGGCCAAGACAGCCAAGCTCAATCGCCTCCTGGTCAGCCACCAATGATACTCTACCCTGGATCAAGTGTATCATCCAGCTGGTCTTCCTCAACGACTACTCGTACCCCAACTACAGTGTTAACCACACAGAACACTTACCCGTGTATCACATCCATCCCATCAGCAGCCTTGATACCCCCACAGTATCCCATGAGCCCTTGCTGTTCTTCGCCAGATGCATACGCGACTTTAGCGCATGCGTTCCATGTACCAGTCACAGGATTTAATCCCTTTACTTCCGGTCCACCCGGAAATCAAACTAGTCCTCATCCAATCAGTCCAAACAGTGCGCACTCACTTCCGGTTTCGCCACACCCTGTGGAGGGGTACCCAGGGGAGGGATTTAGTCCTAGTCACATGTATGGTTCTTTAACGGGCCAATCTGCTTGCCTTTAGTATATTTTTGTCCTTGAAAGTAAATAAAAAAATACTGCAAATTCGTAGAGGAATCTTTTGTAACATTAAACTTGCTCAGTGTTTATGGGTTAGTATTGCGAAAAAGGATTTTAAATCACCGTGGAGGGAAGGGGAGGAGGGACGTTGGTCATCATAGATACGAGGCATCAATGATCCGCTTTAACGAAGTATCCCGTGCGCGTGGGCTCAAGAAAGTCAGCGGAGGAGTACAATAGCGCATGATTGTAAATTTTAAAAAAATTTTCGATGTCACAATAATGTCAATTTTTTTATAATAAAAGAAGAACTGAAATAACTCAAGTTGTGCTTATGGTTTTTATTTAAATTGGGCGTTGTTTTCGCATTTCTGACAACTTCTGGTTTTTGAAACGTTATCAACGCCAGCAACAGTCTTTTTGAAGACTACACAATATGCAAATGAGACAACAAGCATTGTATCGACCCGATAGCCTCACTTGCATGATTCTTGAAATAGAACTATATCTCATTACGGGCTCAACTGTAATAACAGCTATTTTCAAAATGTACAAGAATACAGAAACATTGAACAGTAGATATATAGGATTTATCTTATGAGCTAATTTAGTGAGAAAATAATAGTCATAAATATTTATTTTATCAATAAAATTAGCCAAATATTTCAGTATCAAGAGACTGTGAAAAAGTTTGTCAACGAGAGGAAAACCTCGTAATCTTCTTTGCACAGTCTTTATAGTAAATGACTTGTTTCCTTCATATTTATATTATACACATTTTCACATTGACGTTTTATTTATTTTAGGAGCCGGTATGAATTTCAACCAAGATTTATGTTACAGATTATATTGCAGATTCTTAGATATTTTTTATATAGAAACTAATGTTGTTTGCTGCTATTTTCTACAGTTTTCTTTGTTTCCGCAGCTGTCGTAGTGGTTGGCTACCGTTGCCATATCGTGTCATTGTTGTTGCTACTACTGCTGCTGCTGCTGCTGTTGTTGCCACTACTCTTTTGTTGTTGCTGTTGCTGCTGTTGTTGTTGTTGTTTATTCTTTTGTTTATGCTGTTGTCTGTGTGCTGCTATGGTCTTGGCTCTTTCTGTCGCTTCTATTGCTATAATAATTATACGAAAATCCTTACTAAATTTCAAGTTCTTTAGCTCGAGTCCAATCCAGCTTAATTTGACCACGTGATAAAATGCCCTCCTGTTCAAGTGATATTTACTTACTACTCCCCCACAGCAGCAGTGGTCTCGTTGTCATGGTAATCACTTGGTTCGATCTGATTACAGTGGAAACACTTTAGGAAAGCATTAACGATCCTCCTTAACTCGTTCCTAAGCTCCTTTATGAAGACAAAATGCACCAGTGGATTGACAATCGTCTGCAATACCAGGAAACAATTGATGACCAAGTACGCAGTCGAATATTGTGATATCGCTTTTCCAGAAATCATAGCGTCTACCAGATAGTAAACCAGTGCGGGCATAAGACATATGACCCATGAAGAAGCTTCGATGACAAGGATCTTGACAGCGCGCGTGTTACGTCTGGCGCGGTTGCGAGCAGAAGAACAGAGCTCGCGAGGTTGAACGAGCTTAGCATCTCTTCTGAGCTTTCTAATAATCAAGGCATATATGAAAACAAAGAATATTAAAGGGACAAATTGTGATAGAAGGATCATTATGAACAGGATCGATATCAGCCAATCCTTGGATGTTTTGATCATACAGAGTGAACCATTTTCTCCAGAATGAAGCTTTAGGAATGGGATCATACACAGGTTAACTGATAGAGATGCCAGCCAGGTGATGACAACAGTAATGAGCGCCTTCTTGACAGTCATCTGAGAATAGACGAAGAATGAGATATTTTTATTATATATTCAAATCAATATCCATCTATTTATCCTTCTATCGACTCATCAACCCATCCATCCATCCATCCATCCATCCATCCATCCATCCATCCATCCATCCATCCATCCATCCATCC